ACTGCTGCAGGTTTTCGTTGATGCGCTGCACACGATCTTTAAGCTGCGCACGAAAGACGTGTTCCAGATGAGCGTCGCCATATCTCGCCTCCAATGCCTCAAGGAGTTGCTCATAAGTCACTTCCTCTCCGAGAGCTTCCAGAACTGTTAAGGCCTGGTCGCGCAGGCCTAGTGTGAGAGCAGTCATGGCCTGACTTTTATTCCAGCCGTTCGCCTTCATAACAGCCTCGAACTGGATTTTGTAGGCTGACCAGGAAGAAGTCCCGTCGAATGGGGGCACCTTGAACCCACGTAGCGAAGGTGTAGTAGCTACTACGGGAGCTGTATTTCCCTCCCCAAGTTTGAGTTCGTCAAGTGATTTCCTCATGTCAGCCATTACGTTGTCAACCCGATTGTTCACTTGGTCAATTCGGGTTTCAGCTTCCGACAGGCGGTTTTCATGTTGAGCAACCTTATCCTTCACCTCCCTTATCTCTTTCCCGAAGGTAGCGTGAAGGTCCTTCATGAGAAGCATCTGTTCTTCCTGGCCGCCCCGCAGCTGCTCTTCCAACCGACGGACCTGTTCCTCCTGTCGGCGAGCCTGTTCCTCCTGTCGACGAGCCTGTTCCTCGTAGCCCTGTAGCATCGCCATCAGAGCACCTAAGTCAGGTGCTGCAGATGTAGGAGCTACTGACGGGCCCGCAGCCTCCGTGGCTGGCATTTGGCCCTCCGACGTCTGTGGCATTGCACCACCAAATCTCCTCTGGTCCGTCTCCTGCTGGCGTTGACTTCGGGTACGGACACCCTCCATCTCGTCCTTAGGTAAAATCGGCATGATTTTATCCCACTTCTGACACCAATTGTTACGAGCTTGAGGTTCGTGACAATAAAAATTGCCGATAAAATTACCTAATTAACACTTTAATTTACTTTACACAAATTAAAGTTAAAACACTAATAATTAAACACACTTATTCACTTTATTCCGCTCCGAAGCTTCGCTTGTTTCGCCAAATCAACACTACTGCGATCGCATCTTGCAGCGCCTACTTATTTAAATTAGCAAAGAAATATCCAGAATGTTCAAGTAAACACGCGCAAGGTACCGAGCGTTCGAGTTTCGACTAGGCGCTGTCGGTTGAGTGATTTGTGATGTCATTTTCTCAATGCTCCCCTCGCTCTCGTTCCTGACACTAGATGGCGCTAGTGTATCGTCGATTTGAGTGCGTAACACTATTTATGATTATTTAATCACGAACGAAACATAAACGATGTTTACGGTACCGTTTTGTTGGTCATTTCATTTAGTATCCATCTAAGCAACAGTTATAGTAGGAAGAATACATATTATATAATTTTTAAAACACATTAAAACTTTAACAACTATTTTTACCTACAATTACTACTAAACACTAGACAAAAACTATTTCAACAACTATTTACATAAAACTATTTACGTAAACAGCGTTAAAAAACTTTAACATTGGATCGCCTACATCGCGCTAGCCCCGACTGCGTATAACGCCCAGGAAGCCTCGCGATTTTAGGTAATTATTTCACGCAGGTAGCAAGAGTGACAGAAGCCTAGTCTAGAATGTCATAGTTAACCGCGGTTAGCATAGATTAAAATTATTAATTTTTGTTGCGATCTATGCAGTACGAACTTATAATACTTATCTTGAAGTCTTGCAGTTGTATGCTTGGGTTGGGTTTTAATTTTATTAATTATAGGATCCCAAGCAGATGGTAGCAACCAGCCATCTTCTCTATTGAAATTAGGATGTTTTTTAATTTCAATAGCCTCGCGAATCATCTTTGGAAGGAATCGGTATCCGTTAGCGAGGATTTGTGGTCTATCAAATCTGATAGTAGTGACGGGGGCGATCCTGTACGCGTTCACAGACTGCAGACTTCCCGGAGCGTCGATTCTTCACGTCAGCTATATGTTCTTTAACGCGGATTTTAATCGATCTTGTACACTCCTGCATCTTGCCTTTTTTGTATCTGCATCTTGCATCACAAGCTTAACCTAGTTTAAATCGTTGTAGATAATATACGAGTAGGTACATATAAGGTGGGTGAAAAATATTCTTCGCATTTAGAATGTGAATTCAAAACTTAATTACATTTAATTACAATATATACGTGGTTTGTACGTGGCTTCTTGCCAGACGATCCCATCGTTGTTGCGGATTCTGTCGCTGATGTGGTACTTCAGGGTATGGAACTTTTTATTCCTTCCTCTGTGGGGCACCACAGAGGAAGGAATAAAAAGTTCCATTTTTTGGAGGCAAATCTCAGCCATGGTTTGGTCGCTCCTGTAAAATAGCATCATGCTATAAGCAGGAGTGCTACCTAGCCTGGGCTGACGCATTACGTCCCGGGATGTAAACACCAGCGCTCTAAAAAAGAAGTATAATTCCGCCACTTTGCAAAGTCAGAGCACATGGGCAGAATCGGCGAGAAACTAGTTCGCCTTCCTTCTGGAACCCGTGCATTCAGGTCTCTCGCCAAGGCTGTCCAGGGGAATTTCTATCAGCCATCTCTTCCATCTCTGCATAGGGAGAACGACTCACTGGCCCATACCGCAAAGGAGAAAGCCGATTTGCTAGGCTCTTTCTTTGCGTCCAACTCGACTGTCGATGACGGGGAGAGTACGCCGCCGACCATACCGCGGTGTGAGTGCTCCATGCCGGAAGTGCAGTTTACACAGCGCTCGGTTCGCAAAGCACTTCTCTCCCTGGATATCCACAAGTCGAGTGGGCCTGACGGAATTCCCCCAATTGTGCAGAGGACGTGTGCTCCAGAGTTGGCATCGGTTTTAACGAGTCCTTTCTGGTACTCCTACTCCCTAGGCGTAGTCCCAAATTCATGGAAGACGGCTTTCGTCCATTCGATCCCTAAAAAAGGCGACCGCTCAGATCCGTCCAACTACCGGCCTGTCGCCATCACCTCCTTGTTCTCCAAAACAATGGAGTCTATTGTTAACTGCCAGCTCATGAGGTACCTTGAGGATCACCAGCTGATTAGTGACCGCCAACACAGTTTTCACCATGGTCGATCAGCTAGTGATCTTCTGGTCTACCTTTCTCATAGATGGGCGGAGGCAGTAGAGTCCAAGGGGAAGGCATTAGCCGTCAGTTTGTACATTGCGAAGGCCTTCGATCGGGTTTGGCACAAAGCGCTTCTTTCGAAGCTCCCTTCCTATGGGCTTCCCGAGTAATTTTGCGATTGAATCACCAGCTTTCTAGCAGATCGGAGCATCAAGGTCGTTGTAGACGGTGCAAGCTCCGATTACAAGCTTATTAATGCTGGTGTTCCACAAGGCTGCGTGCTATCGCCAACGCTGTTTCTTCTGCATATTAATGATATGTTGCAAACCCGTAACATTCATTGCTACGCAGATGACAGCACTGGTGATGGTCTATACAGCGGCCGTGCCAATACTTCTCGGGAAAACGTCTCCGAGTACCGGGACAAACTTGTGTCTGAAATCGCGTCTTTGCTGAACATAGTCTCGGATTGGGGGCGACTAAATCTAGTCCAGTTTAACCCCTAGAAGACACAAGTTTGCGCGTTAACCGCTAAATGGTACCCCTTTGTCGTATCTTCCCAGTTTCAAGGCACTGCCCTTGTTGCCTCAGCCAGTGTCGGTATCCTCGGCGTCGACATATCGAGTGACGTGCAGTTTCGTGGTCACTTGAAAGAGAAGGCCGCATTGGCCTCTAAAAAGCTTGGCGTGCTCAGCAGAGCAGGACAGTATTACATGCCGGCACACCGCCTGCAACTTTACAAGGCGCAGGTTCGGCCGCACATGGAATACTGTTCCCATCTCTGGGCTTAGGCCCCCCCAGTACCAGCTCCTTCCACTTGACTGCATCCAGCGCAGAGCGGCTCGAATCGTCGACGACCGAGTGCTTTCCGATCGGCTCGATTCACTGGCGCTGCGAAGAGATGCTGCATCTCTTTGCATTTTCTTTCGCATATACTATGGGGAGTGCTCTGAGAAATTGTTCGGATTAATCCCAGCCGCCAAATTTCGTGAACGCACTACGCGGCAAATGTCCCAATACCATCCACACTATCTGGATGCTTGGCGGTCCACGACTATACGTTTCACAAGGAGTTTTCTTCCGCGTACGACCTCTCTGTGGAATAGTTTACCACCGGCGATTTTTCCGGACCGATACCACCTGGGAAACTTCAAGAAAAGAGCTTACTCCTTTCTAAGGGGCCGGCGACGCACCTGCAATTCCCCTGGTGTTGCGGTTGATCATGGGCGGCGGTACTCACTTAACATCAGGTGAGCCGCATTCTCGTTTGCCCCTCTTCTATAAAAAAAATCCTCAACTTTACCGTATACTTATTTCAAAATTAATGCTGCAATATTTTCGGCATAACGGAGGATCTTGCTAAGCCATTTGAGGTACTATATGCCCTTAATTTTTCACAATTTCCCCTTAAGATATTGCAAAAATTTTCGAAAATATTTGTTTTTACTTTCATGCCAAAGACTATCTTGCTCTATTATATTACGGTTAAATGTTGCAAAGCCAGTATTTACAAATGTTGTCATTATTTTGTTATTTAAATGCTTAGAGTTATTATCATATTTTAGCTTCCATTAGAAATTCTTGGTGGTATGCGCTGTATAAATATGTACCATATTTTCGTCCGAAACTATTTACATATATATTTGGCATTACACTTGCTAATAGCTTAATAGTTATATTTGAAACTTTATTTACCCTTTTTTCCACTTTTAGAGGTGGAGTTCATCTCTGAATTTAAATGATGACCACTGTCGAGGTTTAGTTTATTAAATAAAAAAAGAATCATTAAAATCAGTTTGCGGATAGCAAACATATGATAACATCATAACGAAAAAAACTGCAGTACAATTGTGAACTCCTCCTTTATAAGTAGGCTAAAAATTGCCTCAATAGATCGCAATTTGCATTAGAATAATAGTGAAAGTTTTCGTCAAATCTGTGTTGCAATAAATAAAAATAAGTTAGTAATCATTTTATTATTAATAGTGGAAATAGCAATAACAAAGAAGTGACACAATGTTCACAGCCAGTGTTGCAGTAGTCGGTGGAGCATACGCACACGTGGTAGCGCACGAACAGGGAGATCGAGCGACTGAACGGCGTGAGGGATGCAAGCGGACTGGTTACGCAAGCATCCGTGAAACCTTTTGCTACTAATTCCAACTTAGATAATCTATGGCCAGCAAAGTTTCTTATATAGGGACGCATTGACTCATAGAAGGTCCGACAACCGCGTGATGTGTACAGCGGCCCTACGTCGACGAACCGTTTAAAGCATCCTTTTATATAGTTACCAAACATGTGCGTTTTCAATCCTTTGTCGTTAGTCCATAACATAAAATATGGGTAATATCTATGACCCATCATTTGCCGATAGTAAGGACTGTAATAACCGTAATAGTGGCATTTTGCACGGAAGAACCTCGACATACTTCGCAGTTGGCCGTTGTCCGAGTCGAACATGTCATGACACATGGTACTTGTCGGCAACAAAGATTCATTAAGCCCACACCAGTAGCAGGATATGACATGAGGATAAACATCCCACCAGTATTTTGTAAACGCGTGGCTGAAAGCAAGAGATGGCGCAGTAAATGCCGCACCAGCATACACTCTGTCTCTTTTAGTTCGTTTCTGCGCGGGCCAAAGTGTCCTGTGTGTCAATTTGCCTCCAATACCCAATGACGAGTTAGCGTAATTTGAACTGGTGGTGGAGGCAATCGCATTAGTTGGAACTGATTGCTTCTGATTGCTCTCTTGGTACATACAGGGTAATGCGGTGACGTTCAGTTGCAAGCTTTTGTTCGTTTTATTTCCCATGATAACTTGCCTTAATATTGGAAGCTCGTTCATCAGATCTTCATAGGTCTTATCCTCCAGGTTTTGTAAGATTTCGACATCTGCATTAGAAACGTACTCCTGACGACTTCGTAAACGTGGCAACTGTGAAGCATTGCCGCATTGTAAAATGAAAAAGAGTAAATAAAAAAATGCAAATAAAATGTAAGAAACCATTTTACTGTCCCATGAAGATGACGTGCACTGTCACATTTCATAGAATTATTTATATATTGTTACTAACGTGGTTATTATATACTTATATACATATATACTCTTTGGATTACTATCACGTTTTAAGAGAGAAAATAATAATTCAAAGAGTTTCGGTTTGAAATATAAAAAGCTCATTATTTAAAATTAGCAGCTCAAAAAAATACATCAAATATATTGATACAAGTTGTTCCATATTGGTCTAGGTTACCATTGGCTCACGTTAATTTTATTTTTTTGGTTTTATAACATAAAATAATGTGTCAACTGTGCTCCTTGCCTAGTATGCCGTAAAAGGTAACTAATGGAATATTAAGTTTGTGCCTGTGCTGGCGGTGAACTAACCACCCGTCACTTTTACAGTTTTTAATCTATACCCATATTTTAACCGTGTAGGTAAAAGCGGTATAAGAATATCCACTACCCCATATCGTGCCGAGGGAGTAGTGTGGACAGCAGCATGTTCGTGGTAACAGGTCGAAATAACAAAAGCTGCGCTTGCCAAACCGCTTACCAAGCGTGGCACCTATGGCGAAATACTAAAAAATAAAAATAATATAACTACTAACTTAGCTAAACGTGGCCGAGTAGCTAGATACTCTTTGGACTCTGAATACCTCCTCGGAGAAAACGAGGCTGCATGAAGCTGTGCATGATGCAATTTGTTCTTCAGTTTATATCCATCTTGGGAAACAGGTTGTTAATAATATGTTATCATTAGACTTGACTTGATTATGTGACTATCCCAAGCTCAAGATCAAGGTGGTAATATTCTATGAACTCAAGCCCTGCTAATTTTCAAATATTTTAGTTATCTATACATATACAAACGTGGCAGAGCCGTGCTGCAGTTATATTAGTAGTATAGTTGTAGCACGAATGAGTCGGCTCGACCGGGGAAGTAACACGCTCTCACGGAATACCAGTGTAAAATAGTAGCTTAATACTGCTGTGTTCCGTATGATGAGTGTAGAGAACCGGAGACCCTTTTTTACTGGAAACGAGGCATTCCATTTAGATAGTCCTTGCGGGTGACAACGCATCTGCATTTTGATTCTTAATCAACGATAGATGTAGATGTCTATGGGCCACAGCAACCACTTACCATCATTTGGACTGTGTGCTCGTTTGTCACTATATTCTATTTAAAAAAAATATTGTGAAGTGTATGACTGCAGCACTGAAACGACTGACTGAAGCTCAAGGGTTATTTGCATGATATTAAGATAGAAAGATATTTTTGTTTCAATTTCTATCTGTCCGGCTTCGGAATGACTGAACCAATTGTCATGAAACTTTACGAACGGATAGAGATCAGTACCAGGATGGATCTAGACTGTATTTTGGCTGTAAAACTTTGTTTCTCCCTGAAAAAAAAAACAAAAATTGATTCAAAAATTGTCTCGAGTTATGGTCTTAAATCTAGATAGGCCACAGCAATGGACCGAACCCAGGCGAAGCTGGGGCAGGTCGCAAGTATTGAATAAAATAAGCACCTAATGATTTCTTGTATTTACGCGAACACTACACATTTAAATAATACTAGTTTTTACAAATTTTATCGCGTATATTTAACTTTTTTAAATACCCGACGTTTCGATCACTTTACAGCACCCATGGTCACGGGGAGACTGAGATGTTCAACGTCTAGACACAGAAAAAATAATAGTACTACGTACAAAAGTTGCACTCCTTTGATGTCGACTGCTTGCCGACGTTTAATAGCCTACATAATTATTATTAATCAGATAAATCGCGCACGCAAACTAAAT